CTGAATCGACCAGTCTATGGCCTCAAGCAAGCACCCCGGGAATGGCACAACAAGCTCAAGAGCACCTTAGGGTCCCTCGACTTTCACCCATCCACCTCTGACCCCAGCCTCTTCATCCGAGCAACACCATCCCGCTTCTTCATCTTGGTTTATGTCGATGACATGATCCTTGTCACCAAGGATCAGACTGAGCTGGCAGCAGTCAAAACCGCACTTGGTGAGAAGCTGGCTATGAAGGATCTTGGGAAACTGACGAACTATCTGGGCATGGAAATCACACGTGATCGCACGGCCCGCACCATCACCCTCTCGCACAAGTTCTACATCAACAACGTTCTGACCAGGTTTAAGATGCAGGAAGCAGCTTCAATGCCCACCCCACTCTCTCTGCAGCACCAACTCACTGCACCCTCTGTTCCCTCACCTGAGCCCTGTGATGAGGCTTACCCCGAGCTCGTCGGTTCCCTCATGTACGCGATGATGTGCACTCGACCAGCTTTGGCCTATCCAGTCAGTGTCCTGTCTCGCTACGTTGCACCTGGTCGCTTCACGAGCCACCACTGGTCTGCCGCCAAGCGGGTCCTCCGCTATCTCAAAGGCACACAAGACTATGTGCTCACTCTTGGCGGCTCTTCCCCTGTTCGCCTTGAGGGGTACAGTGACTCGTCCTATGCTGATGACCAGAGTGATCGGCGCTCTTCCCAAGGATATTGCTTTACCCTTGGCAGTGGGGTTGTCAGTTGGCGCTCCACTCGGTCGTCTTCCGTCTCACTGTCGACCTGTGAGGCAGAGCTGTATGCCGGGACCATGGCTGCCCAAGAGGCCCGTTGGCTCTCCTTCTTGCTGGCAGAACTTGGGTATCCTCAACCAGCCCCAACGCTTTGGTGTGACAACGAGAGCACCATTCATCTCACAAAGGACCCCGTCTTCCACGGCCGCACCAAGCACATTGAGGTCCGTCACTACTTTCTTCGTGAGCTGGTGCAGCGCGAGCAGCTGAAGGCTGAACACATTGCCTCCGACTGCAACCTTGCTGACTTGTTTACCAAGTCTCTTGTTCGCCAAGACCACTACCGCCTCCTCTCGTCCATGGGTGTTGGGGCGCCATGTGGCTGAAGTGTTGTCAGCCTAGGGGGTGTGTTAGAAATAGTCAGTCAACACTTTGTACTATATTCTATATCGGTTAGGTTACTTTGTAGGTTGGGTGTAGATTTGTAATCCCAACCCTATCTGGTTGGGATTCCCTCGTAATCCTGCAAATCTGACAACTCACCAATTGGAGATTTGCTAGGATTCCCATCCCATCCTTTCCCTAGCTTTGCTCAACCCAACCCTGTTTGTACTTAAGGCCTAGTGCCTTCCTTATCAAGCAATCAGTTCAGTTCCAATTCTATCACTTGGGAGCTGGTCGAACGCCCACGCGGGGTGAACATCATGAAGAACCGGTGGGTGCTGACGACCAAGTACCGCCTCGACGACACCGTCGAGCGCGAGGAGGCGAGGCTGGTCGTGAAGGGCTTCACGCAGGTGTGCGGTGCCGACTACGACGAGACGTACTCGCCGGTGAGCAGCTACGTCACGCTGAGGATCTTCCTCAGCATCGTCGCCGTCTTAGACCTCAACCTGATGCAGCTCAACATGAAGAACGCTTTCCTGCAGAGCAAGCTCGACAGGGTGCTCTACATGTACCAGCCGGACTACTTCGACGATGGGACTGGCCGGGTTTGTAAGCTGCTGAAGAGCCTCTATGGGCTGAAGCAATCGCCGCTGCTGTGGTACAGGGCACTTGACGGCGTGCTGCTGGGCGCTGGCTGGAAGAAGAGCCAGGTCGACGAGGCGCTCTACTTCATGGCCAGCGACAACGGAGTGACCTGCTGGGTGCTGGTCTACGTCGACGACCTGCTCGTCGCCAGCAGCAGCCCCGCAATGTTGAAGGAGCCAAAGCAGCTGTTGGAGGATGCCTTCGAGCTGCGCGAAATTTCGCCGGTCGTCAAGTACCTCGGGCTGGAGATCGTGCGCGACAGGCCTGCGAGGAAGCTGTGGCTTCACCAGCAGGGCTACGCCGACAAGCTGCGCAGACGCTTCATCAACGAGGAGCAGGGCGGTCGAGTCCCGAAGACGCCGGTCTCGGTCGATGCCTACGCCGAGCTGACATTCGACGACGAGGAGGCGCAGGAGCGCGAGGAGAAGTACCGGCAGAAGGTTGGCTCGCTGCAGTTCGCGGCGACGACGACGAGGCCGGACATCGCGTTCGCCTGGAGCAAGCTGGGGAGCGGCCTCACAGTGAGGAGTGACCAGCATTGGCGCGAGGTCGACCGCTGCCTCGCCTACCTTGCTGACACCCGGGACACCGCCTTGGAGTTCGGCGGTGGCCCAGAGTCGCTGGAGCTGATCGGCTACGTTGATGCTGACGACGTGGGCGACAAGCAGAAGCGGACGAGCACGAGCGGTTACGTGTTCGTCTACGGAGGGGCCGCCGTCTCCTGGTCGAGCTCGCGCATCAAGTGCGCGACATTGTCGTCGACAGAGTCGGAGTACGTTGCGGCCACGAATGCATGCAAGGAGGGACGCTGACTTCGTTTCCTTGCGGAATTCAAGCTGCTCGACGCTGGGAAGCCGACCATCCTGCATGTCGACAACAAGTCGGCAATTACGGTCGCTGCGGGCTTGGGGCTGACGGGCAATCTCAAGCACATGGAACGACGCTATGCTTGGTTGCAGCACATGGTGAGGCGCGGGAAGTTTGTACTGGAGTACATCCCGACAACCGAGCAGCCGGCAGACTTCCTGACGAAGGCGCTGCATTTTCCGGCTTTCAACCAATGCTCTGTCGCCATCGGCCAAGTTCGTCTGGCCGACGTTGGCGACGGCGACAATGATGTGCAGCAGTAGGTGCTGTGCCCTTCTGCACGGCTGGTGCGGTGACGGCGTGCTGTGTGTGGGGTGCACGCCGAGGACAAGTTTTCCCTGTAGTGTGGTGCCGTGTGGGCTGGGGACCCAAGCGTGAGCGCGGCAGGGGAGTGTTAACAGGAGTGAAGTGTTGGCCCCGCCCTCGCTTGGGCAACGCCGACGACTTGGTCGGATGTACGGGAAAAGCAGCCGACCATCCACAGTGGGAGAGCTGCTCGACAGGCATCGTCGAGCCGCAGGGGACCGCTGCGGTGTTGCTGTCGACCAGGGAGCTCGACAGCTGCAACTGACTGGCCTGGGCGACGGGTGGGCCGTCGACCAGGAGGGGCAGTTCGACCGGGAGGTCGACGGAGCAGTCCGTAGACCTGAGAAGTGAGCAGCGGTCGACGAGAGGAACTCATCGACCAGGGGGGTAGCTCGACGGGAGCTGTGGTCGACCAGGGACACCTGGTGATCGACCAGAGGGACCCGGTGGTCGACCAGAGACACTTGGGGTTGTCCAGGTCGACCGGGTAACTTGCTCGGCGAGTTCTGCGGAGGCACGCAAACGTCGTCGAGGTTGCGATGGCGAAGGCGACTTCGGGATGGTATCCCGAAGTCGATGTGGCTCGTCAGGCGCAGACAACAGCCGACGAATGCACAACGGTGCAAGTCGGGCCAATCGTCTGCACGCATCAGCGAGCGTGCGCACTGTTGTCTCCTACGGGGCAACGCTGGACAGTCGCTCTGCTGCAGCGTTGGTACACAGTCGACCTGCTGTGTTGGCAGGTCACTTTTCTGCAGTGCTGGCGCGGCTCCTATACGCAACGCTGGCAGGCGGTCGACCATGCTGTGCTGTCTGTCGACCAGGCTAGCTGCAGAGTTGCTAGGTGCCTGACGTAGTTCTTGTTGCCATTGCTTGTTGAGCAATTCTGTAATTTCAACTTTGATAGTGGAAACTCTTGCCAATTTCTCCCGTGATTGTGCAAGCACTGAGGAACTAGGCAAAGCTACGATCACTCATAGTAGTTCGTGCCAAACCCCGTAGTCTAGCTCACTAGCATTGAAGAGTGAATCTCCGCATCCGTACCGTGCCATGCCATGCCGTGCCATGCCATGCCGTGCCATGCCATGCCATGCCATGCCATGCCATGCCATGCCATGCCATGCCGTGCCATGCCATGCCGTGCCATGCCATGCCATTCCGTGCCGTGCCATGCCATGCCATGCCATGCCGAGCCATGCCATGCCATTCCGTGCCGTGCCATGCCATGCCATGCCGTGCCATCCCGTGCCGTGCCATCCGGTCCATGCCATGCCATGCCATGCCGTGCCATGCCGTGCCATGCCATGCTGTGCCATGCCATGCAATTCCGTGCCATGCCATGCCATGCCATGCCGTGCCATGCCATGCTGTGCCATGACATGCCATGCCGTGCCGAGCCATGCCATGCCATGCCGTGCCATCCCGTGCCGTGTCATGCCATGCCATGCCGTGCCGTGCCATGCCATACCTCTCAAACACTCCTCCACCTGCACACGCCTCCCCCCTCTGCTGCCCACCCACCCGCTGTTGACAACTCCACTGACAGCCCACCCTCTCCTCCACGCCCCCCGCGCTTCGCGATGACGGCTGCACGGCGCTTCCTCGCCCTCCGTAGGTCGCCCAGTGGGCATGCTTGTGTGGGGATCGAGTTGCCGCATTTCTCTGGGTGATTCCAGTTTCCATCACGTTCCACCACATTCCTCTGCTCTCCATTGCATTTCACTCCACTTCATTCCGCTTCATTCCGCTGCATTCAACCACATTCCACTCCTCTGCACTCCACCACAGTCCACTGCAGTGCGTGTCGTTCAGCTGCATTCCATTGTATTCCACCGCGTGTGTTTCTTTACACATGATGAGCTCTGATGCTGCGTTGCATGGTTGAGTGCACTGCCACAAGTGAGCTGCGGGTAGCCCTAAGCAAAAGCAAATCAAAAGCCTCAAGCAAGCGAGGGGGCGGCATTAAGAGTGGTAGCTCTAGGCGGGGTTGTGCTATTTTCCTAATGCCTGCTCATCATCTCACGATGAAGTCAGCCCACCATGCGTTGTGGTGGCTGGGGCCGTGATGGCAGGGAGCGGCACGAGTGAAGTGAAGGTCGTGAAAGTGGCGGAGCCCTCACAGCAGCTCAGGTGGGTGCAGCACATGGTGGGTCATCACATGGTGGGTCATCACATGGTGGGTCATCGCATGGTGGGTCATCACATGGTGGGGTCCTCACATGGTGGGTCATCATATGGTGGGTCATCACATGGTGGGGTCCTCACATGGTGGGGTCCTCACATGGTGGGTCATCACAGCTTGTGAGTGCAATAATTGAACGTCCTACATGCGCCCGTGCACCACTGCACCTGTTGCTACTCGTGTGATAATGCGTCATCCTCATTCTCATCACACCCGTCTTTCCCCGCACTGCCTCTCTGCCTTGCAGCCTGCGCCCACCCACCAAAGCGCCAATAACAGCCATTGCGCTTTCCCATGATGCCGGGTGAGCCCATGATGCCAGGTGAGCCCATGATGCCAGGTGAGCCCATGATGCCAGGTGAGCCCATGATGCCAGGTGAGCCCATGATGCCAGGTGAGCCCATGATGCCAGGTGAGCCCATGATGCCAGGTGAGCCCATGATGCCAGGTGAGCGCACATTTCAACTGCACCGTACCTGTCCAGCATCGCTGCTCGCGCATGAGCACTCATGCAGCACCTATCCAAGTGGTCCAAGGACATGAGTATCCCCTGCCAGGCTCTGTGCACCGCTCACAGCAGTGCGTGTGTGCATGGTGGTGTGTGCATGGTGGTGCGTGTGTGCATGGTGGTGCGTGTGTGCATGGTGGTGTGTGCATGGTGGTGTGTGCATGGTGGTGTGTGCATGGTGGTGCGTGTGTGCATGGTCGTGTGTGCATGGTGGTGCGTGCAGCATCGTCATCTGCTGCTGCACCGATGGTCATCTGTACCGCTGGGATGTCAGCCCTCCGCTGGAGGACCTCACAACCATCGTGGTACGTACCCCTCTGCTTCTCACTCATGCCGCAATCACATGGATGCCTGGTCTTCAATTGTCGGGCCTTACTAAGCACGATGGGCATTCCCTGCCGTCATTGCCCTGCACTGTGTGGGCACAATGAGCCTGCCAGCGCACATGGCGCTTCTGTCCCACCATGTGCGCATGTGTGCTGGGTGGGTGCATGGTGCATGGTGCATGGTGCATGGTGCATGGTGCGTGCAGGAGGTCGTGCCCGACAGCGAGGATGAGTTCTGATGCCGCCTCGCCTCGCCCTCATGCCACCTCGCCGTGTGGCCAGCTGTCTGTGTGGTCGCCTGCTCATCACTCACACGCTAGTCTGCCTTCAGCTCGCCCCTGGGGTTACTGTGTTTACCTGAACCAGGCCCTTTACTAGGATTTAGGGCATCCTGAGGCCTCAGGGCAACTCTTTATTTGTTTTCAGAGTGCCATGATCTTTTAGGGCAAAGTTTCATGGCCTTGTTGATATTCATGGCACATGCAGGACTTCATGCTGTGCTCTTAAGGCAGGATAATTACAGCACCTGAATGAGTACAACAACGCTACCCTACCTACCACAGTGCGCACTCCAGCGCAGATTAGTTCGGAAGGGTTTGTAGTGAGACGGTGGGACAAATTCCTCTGGGAAAACCCCCCTCCCCCCTTCCTCTCCCCTCCTCCCCCCCTCCCATTCTGTATAATCTCAGGGCAAAATGTCAAAGCCATCCTGAATTTCAGGCCAAAATATAATGTCAACATTTTCAGGGCAAACTCATGACAGCACCCTAAACCTTAGGCTCGGGTGAACATTATAGAGGAAGATTTATTTATAACACCTAAGGAATTCTGTAAGTACAGTAATCCAACTTGGCCACTTGCAGTCTTTTTGCTGATGCATCCGCAAACAAGGAAATATCATTACTATTTGTCTGTTACAGATCTAAAGGGAAAGGACAGTCATTATTTGCCTGTTACAGGTTGAAAGGAACACACAAATCTACCACACTCAAATTGCACCATACGTGACACACTGCTATGGAAGGACCAGCGATGACCTTATGGGTCAGTAGGTTACGTATCTCTAAACAGAGGCACACCTGCACACAGCCCTGTTAGTTATTCAAACTCTTCTTTCTAGCTATCAAACGGAATCACAACTGTGTAGCATGTCAGTGGGCAGCCATTCACCAAAGCCGGTCTCACTCACTTTGCCTTGTCCGGCGTCGCCCCTACCTGCGCCTTCTTCTTCTTCGCCTGCTTGCCTGAGCTGCCTGCCTTCGCCTCACCGCTCGGAGTGCCAGCAGCAGGAGTACGGGCAGGAGTACCCGCAGGAGTACGGGCAGCAGCAGGAGAAGCAGCAGCGGCAGCAGCAGAGGTCCCTGGCGCGGTAGCAGGCGAAGCAGCCACGTGCTCTTCACCCTGCTTCCTCTTGCGCCTCTTCCCTGCACTGCTGCCGCCACCCGCGCTGCTGCCGCCACCCGCGGTGCCCTCGTCCTCCGCCACCTTCTCCTTCCCCTTGCCCGACTTCTTCCCCGTTGCTTCCTCCTCTTCACGCCCCTTGTCTTTGCTCTTATCCTTCTTCTCATCCTCTTTCTTCGCCTCTTTCGTTTTTTCCTTCTCCTTCTCCTCCCCATCCTCCATCACGGCGTCGCCCAGCTGAATTGGCACCTCCTCAACTTCCTCACCGTCCTCCCTCTCCTCACCTTCCTCCCTTTCCTCGCCTTCCTCGTGCTCCTCGCCCTCCTCGCCTTCCTCGTGCTCGTGATCCTCATCGTGCTTCTTCCCCTTGCCCTTCTTCTTCCCCTGCCCGTTCGCCTCGCGCATCTCGTTCCACCGCCGCCGCGCCATCTGGTACGCCTCGCCGGGGGTGGAGGCGGCGCGCTGCGCGAGGAGGCGGTCGCGCTCCTCGGAGAGGAACTGCGTCATCGCCATCTGCACGGCGGACAGCGGCCGCTTCTCCTTCTTCGCCTTCTCCTCCTTCCCGCCGCTCGGCCCCGCAACCGCTTTCGCAGCAGCAGCAGCCGCGGTAGTTGCGGCGGGCGGTCCGGCCCCGGGGAGCGAAGAGGCGGCGGCGGCAACTGCGAGAGCTGCAGCCTTGAAGTGAAGCGGGTCGAAGCTGGGATAGGCGGCGAAGGTGTTGAGCAGCGGACTGATCGCCGATATGGCCACCCCGTCTGCCGCGCGGGCACGAGAGGGACGTGAATAAGGGAAAGATGCAAGAGGCTTGACAACGTGCGACGCGGACAAACAATGCAGCTCCGGCGAATGCAGATGAAACCACTTGGTCGTACCACGTGCGGGAAAAAACGAGGACGAGCACGCGGGGTGAACGAGAGAGAAAAACCCGATCGAGGGCAGAGACGAATAAGATCGCATGTGGCTACGCATGCGCAAGTGCAGAACGAACGGCCGTGAGGCAAATGCAGGCGACGCGGCACTTACCGGCTGCGAGGCGGCAGAGCGCGGAGATCTCGCCGGCCACCACCTGCATGGCCGTCGACGCGTTCGCCACCTGCAGGAAGAACTGCCGGTTCGGCACTTCCCGCCGCTCGCCACTACCGCCTGAACGACCATCCTCGCCGCCTGCCTGGGCGTTGCTCTGCCCGTTCATGGCTGAATCGACAAACAGGAAAGCGCGGAGATATCTAGAAGATGAGGCTAGGATATTTCATCGAAATGGAAATAGATCTGGGAGGGAGTGGACATTTGAAGTGATTGGAACAAGCGAGGCGGGGTGAAGGCGGAAGCGGGAGTGCGGTCGGGGGAGCACGACGGACGGAGGAGGCGATGGGGGTTTAGGGTCTGGCGCACGGCGAGCGATGCAGCAGAGCGCACACAGAAAAAGAAAAGCACGTCCAGCTGGTGAGGTCCGTGATCGGAGCATTTCGACATTTCTACATGTTGCTACTGAGCCTTCAAAAAATGTCAAATCTCAGCTAATGATAGTTGCATGGAAAACATCATTATTGGATGGAATCTCCTGATCAGGAATCCTTTATTTGCATATGTATTGTCATAAAATTCATTTGTGTTTTTAATTCCAGGGTGAAAAAGAACAAGACGATGACTATGTGTTCAAATCTTAGAGGGGATGAGGTGATTAGATGAACAAGAGCAAAGTGTCGATAAACCTCTGTACCCACTAAGGCTAGCCCCTACATAGCCTAATACATATACATATGTATATATATGTTTTGACACAACCCCATAGGCAAAATGGGGGATAACCAGAGCAAGCAATGGTCACAAGTCCAGTCAAGAAAATCAACAATGCAAAACTCAGGGTGGATCACAAAGTCACTACGCAGTCCAAGCACAACAAGTGGCCACATGGCCAGTTGACATGCAGACTTATAAAAGCACATGAAGTGCTGGGATCAAAAGTTGATCATACCCAGGATCACCTCAGCAAGATTTGCACACGACTGAGTAGTAGTGGCGGGCCCTTGATGTAAAAATGTTGTATAGCTTATATTGTGTAGGCTATAGTGGGGTAGCCCATGAAGGGTAAAACCCAATTATGGTTAGTACTTGTACCCTATTTCCATGTTTCCCAACGCGCTCTCGCCTCCTCCGCCCATTTCGAATTCAGCGGGGTTTCTCGACCTAAAGTCTTGTTGCGCCGATCGTTCATGTCCTGCGCTACTTCTCGCGCTCTCTGTTGTGGGGTCCTGTAGGTTGGTGATGCCGACTATTGGGATCAGGGCCTCAGATTCGTTTTGGCCTAGGCTGAAAAATCAGAGTTGGTACAAAACGTTTTGCTGAAAATCAGAGAAATCAGCCATTTTATGCCATTTTACACTACAAATCTATTAAAAATTCTTGTTTCTCTTCAACAAATTGCTGAAATATCAGCCTCAGTTCTAAAAAAGTTCTGAAATCTCAGCCTTTTTTACCTAAATCAGCCTTTTTTCGCTGACTTCTGAGGCCCTGATTGGGATGTTTGCCCAACTCTCCATTGGTCTCTCGTCACGGTATAACTAGCTTGAGTGTGCCAACTTGGTGTTATCAGAATAACGAACAACAATGGATGCATTGAATAGAAGTTGGGTACAAGTACTAACCCTAATTGGGTTGTACCCCTTATGGGCTACCCCACTATAGCCTACACAAATGTAAAAGCTATAATGTTCTGACACACCCCCATAGGCAAAGTGGGGGAGAACAAGTGGTCACAAGACCAGTCAAGAAAGCAAAGCAAGCTCAGGGTGGATCACAAAGTCACCACACAGTCTGAGCACAAGCAAATGGCCACAAGACCAGTTCACATGCAGAGTGATATAAAGAGAACAAACAACACAGTGATCATATCCTAGCAAGTGCAACCATGCAGGTATATATATAGATCACAGTACAAGCAGAGTCAAGCAGTAAGCAAGTGAGGCAAAGTAAACACAAGGCCTAACACAGTAGAGAAGCGCTCATGATCACCAAGAAGAAATGCCTTGGTGAATATATCAGCAGTGTTGGCCCTAGTGGCCACGTACGCAAGACGAAGCTGGCCACGCTGCTGCAACTCTCGAGCAAGGAAGTATCGCAGAGCGATGTGCTTCATTCTGTGCTCCTGACACAAGGCAATCATGGCCTTGTTGTCTACGTACAGAACTGGAGGCGAACGAGGCTGCTCTCCCAAGTCAGTCAGCAGGTAGGTGAGCCAGCGTAGCTCTTGTGCAGCCATGGCTCCAACGTAGATCTCAGCCTCACAGCTGGAGCTGAGAACCGAAGACGAGCGGGTAGACCGCCAGGAAACAGAGCCAGAGCCAAGGCTGAAGGTGTAACCCTGTGACGACCGCTGCGTAGCTGAGTCGTCAACCCAGGAAGCGTCTGCGTGACCGGTGAGGACAACTGGGTTCCGTCCTTCAAGCACGAGCCCCATGTCCGACGTACTGCACAAGTAACGCAGTACCCTCTTCGCAGCATCCCAGTGCACCTTTCGGTGCCTGCCGGGAGCCACGTAGCGAGCCAGAAGGCTGAGAGGGTACGCGAGGTCAGGTCGAGTGCACGTCATCAGGTACATGAGGCAACCCACAAGCTCTGGTTATGGACCACTCGGCTCTACGGACTCGTCTGAAAGTGGAGCTGAGAGCGAGTGGCCGGTAGATAGAGGAGTGGGCTGTGGCGAGGAGAACTGGAAGCCGAAGCGCTGAAGGACCTGGTGCACCATGTGTGACTGAGTCAGTGTAATGGTGCGCCGAGCTCTGTCCTGGGTGATCTGCAAGCCAAGATAGCTGCGCAGTTCACCCAGGTCAGTGCAGGTGTGTCTCTTCTGCAGCCCCGACTTCACAAGGGTCAGTGCCTCAGTGTCAGCAGTGGCAAAGACAAGGTCGTGGACGTAGACAAGGACGTAGAACGGCGGCAGCGAGGTGTCAGTGCGTAGAAACAGCGACGGGTTGGCAGTAGCAGGAGCAAACCCAAGAGCCGCAAGTGTAGTCCTCAGTGTGTTGTGCCACTCGCGAGGCGCCTGGCAGAGACCGTAGACTGGCCGCCGAAGACTCCACTGAGTACCTGCAGGAAAAGACTCAGTGAAGCCAGGTGGGCGGCGCAGCCAGATCTCCTCGTGCAGGCTGCCCTGCAAGAAAGCTGTGCTGAAGTCCAGAGAGTGCAACTCATAGTCACGCTGAGCAGCGACGTGTAGCAACACCCGAAGAGTAGTCATCTTCGGGGTGGGGGAGAAGGTCTGGAAGTAGTCAACTCCCTGTCGCTGACTGAAGCCTCGAGCAACGTAACACGCCTTGAAGGCAGGCGGAGAACCCGGCGGCCGCTTCACCCTGAAGATCTACATGCCATCGACTATGTTCGCCCCAGGCGGGGGAACCTCGTCGACGTAGGTGCCTGTGGACTTCCAGGATGCCATCTCGGTATCCATGGCTGCCTGCCACTGAGAGGAGTAAGGACCCGTAATCGCCTCTGCGTAAGAGCGCGGGGTCGGGATGTCTGGAGCATTTGGGTCCCTCTCAGGGGCAAGCAACATGGAAGCGAAACGAGGTACAGCAGCTGCAAGACACTCAAAGTCCTCCTGCCTGTCCTCAAGGACGACCGTGCCAAAAGCACACTCATCCCCGACGGACGGAGGACTGGAAGACGCAGCATCAGCAACAAGAGCAGTGGCGTAGTCTAGACGGCAGGCAGCAGCAAAGTCAAGCAGCTCAGCAACAAGAGCAGACGTAGCAGCAGACTCAAAGGAAGGGTCTGTGTCAGCAGTGGCGAGGAGACGAGAGATAGTGGGACTGGCAGTATGAGTGCGGTCAAACCCAGGGTCAGGGACGGCAGGAAGAGAGGACGCAGGAGGAGCAGGCAGTGGCAGAGGAACACGCAGTGGAACAGAGGAGGGACGAAGGGTCATAGCGTGCGTGCCGGGTACAGGAGGAGGACACGAACGAGGAACGCGACGAGTAGTGCGAACAGGCGAGACAGGATGAGACGCAGGTTCACGACGCTCTGTAAGACCGCCGGAATGCGCAGTGTAAGGAGAAGGAGCAGGCAGTGGAGAGGCCGACTGTAACGGCGGCTACGACTGGTCAGGCGGGGGACACAGGAGAGGAGGAGTAAGGCCAGTAGAAGACGGGGTACCAAGAACCTGCTGAAGCAGGGGAACGAAGTACGGTCGCGGCCGTACAGCGCCACCAGGGTCAACAGCTCCAACTCCTCCAGCTCCAGCAACTCCAACACCAGGGCCTCCAACTCCAGCGCCTCCTGCGCCAGTGCCTCCAACTCCAGCTCCTCCAGCTCCAGCGCCACCAATGCAAGTAGCGCCAGACTCTGTAAGGTCTCCAGCTCCAGTAACCTCAACACCACCAATCCCGGCAGCTCCAGTACCCCGGGTACAAGCACCTCCAGGACCAGAGGTCGCAGTACCTCCAGTAACACAAGCTCCAGCAGCAACTCCAGTACCTCCAGCTCCAACAGCGCCAGCACCTCCAGCTCCAGAAGCTCCACTCCGAAGGCGCGCACACCGAACAAACCACTGACGCAACTGCTGCGGAGACAGTCTCGGCGAAGCACCAGCAGAACCTCCAGATGAAGCAGCACCCTGAGGCTCAGCACCCCCAGACTCCGCACCCTCCGACACAGCACCCCCAGGCTCAACACCTCCAGGCACAGCACCCCCAGGCTCACCACCCCCAGTCTCAACACCCCCAAGCTCAGCACCCCCAGTCTCAGCACCCTCAGACTCCGCACCCCCAGGCCCCGCACCCCTAGACGCAACACCCCCAGACGCAGCACCTCGAGCAGCACCTGAGCCGACAGCTACCTGAACAGGCGCAGGACCAAGGAGAGGGTCTACCTGAGACACACCTGAGGGAGCAGGACCATGGGGCGGGAGGGGGTCTACCGGAGGGGGACCGGGAGCAAGGAAGAGCGGCGGGGGCGGGAGAGGAGCAGAGCGGTAGGGGAAGAGACGGTATTAGGGAACCGACTTGTCAAACGTGACGTCCTGAGAAGGGAAGACACGGCGTGAGGTGGGGTGGTAAAACTGCCAGCCAGGCGCGTCAGGGACAAAGCCAAGGAAGACGCAGGGGATAGCATGGGGGGAGAGCTTGTCCACAGACGTATCGCGAACAAAGGCACGAGATCCCCAGACCCGGAACACCAACGCATCACCAACCTCCC